GCTGCCCGGGACCAGACAGGCTGTCGCCAGCGCCGTGCGCATGCGCGGGTGCTGGCGCGGGAAAAGTAACACATTTACCCGGGAAGCGTCTATATAAGAAGCTGGGAGGTTTGGGGAGCTGCTGAAGCCATCTACTTGTAAGCTGAACGCTGAATAAAGGAAACTGAGAACTTCAACTGCTTCTCGTGTCTGCTTCCCGCCAAGGACTCAACACCCACAGTCACATGAATGTGATTCAGCTGCTTGCCAATCAGCATATATTTATCACAGTTGCAGTGTCCTGGGATCATGTGATTACCATTTATGGCATTCTGGCTTCCAACAAGCAAAATCAATGAGGAAAGCTAGTTTCACTTAACAATTGCCTGATTCACTTAACTTCAGCAAAAAATGTCGTAAGATCGGGTGCAACTTACTTATCAGCCACCTTGCTTAATTAGCAATGAAAACTAGTGTGGTCGTAAATCAAAGACTATCTATTTTTAGAAGATAATTACTTCTTGTTTAGTGGTGATATGATTCCACATCTGGAAACACCTTAACCAATATGGTTGCCCACCTGCCTATCAACCTTCTGTTGCTATACTTTTAAATGGTGTGTTGATTGACAAGTGACAGCAAGTCACTAAATAAGCTCTACTGCTAAGGAGAAATTTCATCTTCTTTTGTAGCTCTTTAAACATAAACTTGAGAAGTGTGCTTTAAGGTTGGCTGGCATGAAGTTTTTCAAAGTTATATCACAAATTAAGTAAAATAAATAGCAATTTTAAGAAAAAAGCATTGCAGAATTTTATAACTGCCAGCTCTCTGCACAATACTTCATTCTGTCATTCGCTGTTAATTTCATCTCACGCTTTTGTTGCCAAGAGGCAATTTATGTTTACAGCCCACTTTCTATCGAGTTGTTAACAAAGCTTGAGTCCTATTCTGAAAGAGTTACAGCACTGGGATTTCCCTGAAGTCTTCACCAGGCATCATAATGAAAAAGCCGGGGAAAGAACGTGGAAAAAAGAGCGTCACAGACATTCAGGCCCTGACAGTTGTGGGTCATGTTTTCATCTGGAGTGAAGAATTGCTCAACACACCAATTGAAGAGGGTCAAGTATTGGCACGGTTGCACAGGGACTCTACAAAGCTTGCTGGAAAAAAGAGACAAATAGATGTCTCTTTTCCTGGTCTGAATATTCATTCCCACATTCAATCAAGCTGAGATAAAGGCAAAAGTAGATCTTTTTTCTTTGATCAGTTACAACCGAAGAATAACTTTAACTAACTTGATACCTGCCAAATATGGTGGACTTCAAATCCTAGAATGCCTAGTGATTGTTGGTAAAAGCCTTAGCCTTGAGACAACTTAGGAACAATTGCTGTAGACCAGGGGTGTCAAATTCGCAAGTCACGTGATGTGTCGTGACCTACTGTGACTTTTTTTCCATTGATGACAATGGGATGGGTGCAGTTTTGCTATGATGCATCCAGCCCACGGGCCAGCAGTTTGACACCCCTGCTGGACTATGGGCATATAACAGAGTTTTATGTGGGTTCTGGTGAAAAATATCTTGCTTACTTACAGTTTCCCTCCTTATGGTATTTTCTTGCAAATTTCATTACATCTTTGGATGGAAGAAGGTAATCTTTTGTTTTATCTTGGACTAGCTTCCAAGACTGAGTTAAAATAACTTGGCTTTTAAGTTATTTCCCAGAATTAAGCAGGGCTTTCCACACTGTTAGTCAATTGTCTAGTTTTTTTAAAGTAGTGGGCAGTCATCCAGTTATGAAAATATCAGGAAAATGACACTATGGAAATTGTTTGCCAAGATGAAATAGTAAAAAGTAACTTTAGTTGGCAAATCTTCACTTTCAGATTGTTCATGTAGTACATCAGATGAAGCGTGTCTGTTACTTTAATTTCTGACTTAGAGATTTAAAATTATCATCTTATATTTAGCTATTTAGGGATTTAAGTGTATCATCCTTGATTTACAACCAGTTGCTTAGCAACTGTTTGAAGTTACAACACATACCTCCCGAAAGCTACTTACAACCTGTTTTCAAAGTTATGATGCCCCACCCACTCACACGCATACACACCACAGTCATGTGATCACATTTTTGGCGCTTGGCAACTGGATCACTCTTGTGGAGGTTTGCAGCGTCCTGCAGTCACATGATTGCAAGTTGTGACTTTTTTTTTCTTCCAGTGTTTATTTCCAATTTCTGGCAAAAAAAAAAAAATCTCATTGGAGAAAATTGCTTTGCTTTACCACAGCAAAGTTTGTTTAATGACTGCGGCATTCGCTTAATGAACACTGCAAAAAGTTGGCTGCCTCAACATAAGACCACAATGCCTTATGACCATAATTCTGGGTTCAATTACTGTATTGTAAGATAAGGACTGGCTGTATTTGGAATTTCTCTGGGGTAGCTGGCTATTGAGAGTTATGAAGGAGCATCCCCAAAGATTGCGTTACTTTTGGCAATTAGGTGTCCCATGGACAATGGTGTTGTCACCAGCAAATCCTTTCAACCCAAGTTAGCTTTGTCAGTGCTCTGACATGAATACACACAGCTGGCTATTCATTGTAGAACAACAAAATAATAGACCTGTTAATATGGGAGAGAGACTGGCCAAGTTTGAGGGAGGAGTTAAACAGGGAATTAGTTTGGAAGAGCACAAGAGAGTGAAATCTGATCCCTCCTTGAATGCTACTGAATCTTATCTAGTCACACGCAGGTACATATTGTCAGTCTGAGAAGATTTCTGTACATAGGCTTGAGCAATAAAACAGGTAATTGAACTCTTCACATGTGGATCTGATTGTTTGCACCTGACAGAGCTTATCTTCCAACTGTCCTGGTATGGCTTTTCTTACAATCCCTTTGATGAATTTTTGTAGCTAGTAAAAGCTCAGAGACATATCTTTAAAATTATTCTTTTCACATTTCACTTACAAATTACAGGAAAAAATAACAAAAACACCTAACTAGATTTCAAAAAGCTATACATGATTAATAAAACAATTGTTAAACTTAAAGAAAATTCATAGGAAATGAAAGGGGGGGGAAGGACTTTATATATTATACTTAACAACTGGTTTAATAACAAATATATCACTATAAAATGATCAATACAAAACATTACTGTAAATATCACAAAATCTCTACCATAGTAACTTCATTTGAATTAATAAATAAATTATAAAACAGCACCTCAAGGATGAACAAGAAAGCAAAAACTGGATAAATTTTAATGTGACATTGTTTTAAGTGCTCACTGACAACTGGTAGTTTTGAAAAGAAAGATCTAATTTCCACCCTCTTTCTGATAGTTAACATTTTAAAGTACCTAGTAATCAGGTAAGACTTTAAACTGTTTAAGATGCAGCCATTCTTTCCTCATTTTTTTTTCTCCAGGAGTTTGTGAGATGAACAGAGGACAGGATATTATCAAATTAAACCACTTTATAGAAATGGAAAGTAAAAGCAGTAGCAATGTGGAAATTCCTTAAATGCTCAAAAAAAAAAAAAAAAGAATTCCTTTGAAGATGAAATAAATGTCTTATATTTTATTTTCAGAGGAGCTTGGGTCCAATTACAGGTCTGCAGTTTCTTCCAATATATTCATTTATAGTGACATCCATCTACATGCAGGGGTCTTCAAACCTGGCTCTTTTATGACTTGTGGACTTCAACTCCCAGAATTCCTCAGCCAAGCATGCTGGCTGAGGAATTCTGGGAGTTGAAGTCCATAAGTCATAAAAGGGCCAAGTTTGAAGATCCCTGATCTACAGTCTTTTGGGTGGGTGGGGATTAACTCAAGCCAGAGCAGAGTCTGGCCAAACTAGTTATCATCCATGACTCAGCAGCAGTGCCTTCTACAGTAGATGCTTGGGACTTTAGATGCCATGATCTTTTGCTATTAGGTGTACGATTCTACAAATGACATCACCTTATCTTCTCCAAAAGACTGACTGAACAGAGACCAACCTTAGATACTGGACTTGATGAAGATTACTTGAAAAACTCCAGTTTTTCCTTTTTGAAAGCTTCAAGCGTTGCTACACACATAGTATTACCTCTCAGAGGATCTTTTGTTTGTATTGCTAACTCTGTTCTAAATGCTCACTGCAAAAACCCTGTAAAGCTGACCAGTACTGTTTATGCCCAGTCGGCAAATGATACTTTAGCTATAGTTGAGAGAGGATCTCAGTAGATTCATCCAGGTCTGAAGTACCAATTGAACTGTAGATCCGTGTTTCAGACACTTTTCAGTGCTTAGATCCCATGAACCAGGGGTAGGCAACTTTGGCTCTTTTATGACTCGTGGACTTCAACTCCCAGAATTCCTGAGCCAGCCATGGCTGGCTCAGGAATTCTGGGAGTTGAAGTCCACGAGTCATAAAAGAGCCAAGGTTGCTTACCCCTGCCATAAACTGATTCTTCCCCATCAATTCCTTTGGCAGAAAGAGGAAGGGGGATCCTAATGTCTCGGTTTTGTGCGATTAAAGAGTGGATCCTTTCCTTTTTCTTTCTTTCCTGCTTCACGTTCTCCTTCGAACACACACCCCAATGCGCACCAGAGATAGGAGAGTCTCCCGAACAAGTGCTGTAATAGTTCCTTAGTGCAGTGTTTCCCAAACTTGACAATTTTAAGGCATGTGGACTTCAACTCCCAGAATTCCGCAGCCAGCAACGCTGGCTGTGGAATTCTGGGAGTTGAAGTCTACATGCCTTAAAATTGTCAAGTTTGGGAAACACTGCCTTAGTGGGACACTGGCTGTCCAAAATCCCTGCAGGAAACTGGGGCGGGGGGGGCGGGGGGGGGAGAAGAGAGGTAATTCCAACGTGGGTTAGGCTTCCTGGGGCAGGAGAATCGCTTTCGTTTTTTCTTCCTCGGTTTTCGGGATTTTCCATCCCGGAATTTCCAAGGACCGCTCTTTCTCCCACAGCCCCACTCCCCCTCTCCGTCAACCTCCAGCCCTCCCCCGTCCTTTCTCTTTATAAAAAGAAAGAGAGAGATGAAGGTGAGGCATACACCGATTCCTCCTTCACGGTGCAGTGGGTCCTTCTTGGAGTTCCCGGGCAAGGCAATTTCGGGAGTGTCCTGTCTGAACCCGCTGGAAGTGTTGTGTCCACCAGACCCAAGTTGTCGCGGCCAATGGCACCAGTGATTTCAGCGCTGCTTTCGCTCCTCCTGACGTTCACCACGGGTGAGTTTGGAGCTGTTGCTGGTGCTCTGGGGGAGAAAAACGTGTCTTGTTTTGCCTTGTGTAGCGTTTGAAATAAAAACGAACAGCTCAGAGAATGTATTTGCTCCGAGATAAGACATTAAAAAAAAAAGAGTTACAGAGGGTGGGCGATTTTATAAATGTCCTTATAAATCTTTCAAATCTGCATATGTAAAGATTTTTTTTTTTAATGAGGATGCCATTTTAGCAGATTTACAGATTCCACTGAGGGCTACTGGATTTACTTGCAAGTAAACATCCTTGTGCTATTAGCAGGCACACAGCCACATGGATTCAGAAATAACACAGCAGTCTTATGAATGTTAACTTCAGTACAGCAACCAGTGAATTCAGAAGACTTCTTGCTAAGAGTGCATTGGTGGGATTGTAATTTGAAAGCCTTCATTTGTAGGCGATGCAGTCTTTTAATACATTAAGTGGAAGCTTAATTGTATGTTATTATATATTCATTCTATCCAATGATATCTTTAAGCAAGTGCCTTTTAAACTAAACTCTTACTCTTTAGGACTCTAATTTGAGAAATATTTAGATTGTTAGTTCAGTGGTAGGTAGTTCAAACTAATTGGGCTGAGACCTTGAACTTTAGGCTGTAAGGCAGGCCTATTTCCATATACAATATGCATGTATTGGGATTCCATCTTCATCTACTTAATTTAACACCAGTCATATCTGAAACTCATCAGAATCAATGGCAGGATAGCCTAATTGTGTGAACCTATTAGAAACGGTTCCACTGAATTCAATAGACCTTCCAGATCGGTGGTTATAAGAGTGCAGTCTTAGACATATTATTAATTTTTCAGCCTGGGCCCAGAATGTGAGATTAATATCACCATGACTACACATCCGGATAACAATCCCTAGTCGCTTTTTTCTGTATGCTGCATCAGAGTCTGGATTACTTTAGTGATTCCACATTCAAATCTATGTTACAGTGGAACAAAAAGTTATTTTTTTTTTCCTTCATTCCATTTAGGTGCTGCTCACCTCCAAACCAACTCTGAGGGCTGAGTTTATATTAAGCAATTATTCTAGCTATATTTTTGTTTGTATGGATTTTTACCATTCCCATGTCAATCAATGTTTTTCCCTTGACACCTGCTTATATACATTTCCGCTTTTAACTCTTTGGACTCTAGAAGCAAGTTATTGAAAATTGACTTTGGTCCATTTGGATAACTGCTTGGTAATAAACAGCAGAAAGATAAATATTAATCTGTTACATATACATATATGCATCCATATATCCTGAATGTTCTTCCGTCTCTCTTGTTTCAGCTAAAGCATTTGGAATAGAGGACATTGTGCCAGGTCATAAGGTTGTTGCACAAATTGGACACCAGATTGCCCTAAGTTGTCACACAACTGGTTGTGAATCCCCACACTTCTCCTGGAGAACCCAGTTAGACTATCCATTAGGTGGGAAATCACACAGTCAAGGAAACAGTTCAGTTTTAACTATACAGTCTGTTGGATTTCAACATGAGCACCAATATGTTTGCACTGCTGGTTGCAAGCCGGGTGAACCATCCAAAGAAAAAGCAGTCATGGTTGACATTTACTGTAAGTAACTAAACTGTAGTAAGATATAGTGTATCTAATTCTCATAGCATACCTGAAGTTTACACCTGTACGGAATTTAAGTAGCTAATTGATCTAAAAGTAGGAATGGTTGTCACCGATATTTTGATGTTTTGTCCCTGCTGCCATGTGCTTGGCTGCGCTGCTCCATGCGGGCCGTGCCCGGGGGTGACTCTCAGCCGGGGGGGCTGCTGGTGAGGAGCGGGCCGTGGGAGGAGGTAGGGCTGGGGCGATGGCGCATGTGCCCACAGAAAGAGCGCAGAGTGCCGCCTCTGTCATGCATGCGATAGGTTTGCCACCACTGGGCTAGTCTCTCTCTCTCTCTCTCTCTCTCTCTCTCTCTCTCTCTCAGCCCAACTCACCTCCCAGGATTGTTGTTGTTGAGAAAATAGGAGGAGGAAGGTGTGTTGAATATGTTGGCTATCTTGAGTTATTTGTAAAAAATAATAAAGGTGGGATACAAATAAATAATAAAATAATTAACAAAACTGAAGTGCACTGTCAGTCTGAATCCATAAAGATGTGATACAACCAAGGCTAGCCGTAAGCATAATTTCAACCATTGAACAATGCTGGTGTATCCAACACAAAAAAACCTAGGTTTTCAGGAACTTATGAAAGACAAGGAAAGTCAAGGCAGTTGCCATCCATATCTTGGTATGTGTGTGTATGCATGTGTATGTGCCCCCGCCATTCCAGAGGGCATGTGCTAAGACAGATCTCCTGAATTCCATCAGATGACACTGCTTAATAGAGGAACCTTCAGCAACAATTGGAGAGTTTGGGAGTATTTATGCCCATTGTGTTTGGGTCTGCTGTAATTGAAATTCTGAAGCTGTCTTTTAGGTCGTTACATCCTAATAATCCTGGAGTCCAGGTCCATAGACAATAAAAAAAATGTTTTGGAGGCTACACACAAAAAAGGAATTTAGGTTAATTAGAGTCTGTATGACCAAGTCTTGGGTGCATGCCTTTCTATAAACATCTATCAAATCTGAATGCTCTTAAACTGAAAACAGTACAGTGCATTTACTCTTAACTTAAGTCAACCTTGAGCCTGTCAGAATTGAACTGCTGGCAGTCAGCAGAATTAGCCTGAAATGCTACATTCTAATAGATTAGAAGATATAGAAAGTAAAACAGTTCATTTTGCTTTTGCATTAAATTAAAATTGTTTACTGAAATGAAGTAGTAGCATAATGGAACTGGACACAGGGTCCTTCTTTTCTCCTCCCTGGTTATGGGTCTTCTGGGGGTGTTCATGTGTTGAGATGCTGTGTAGAATGCTGGTTCATTCAGAGTTTACATATCAAGCAACAAGACCTACATGTAAAATCTTCTGCCATGATATTTGTTCAGATGCCATCAGCTGGAAAGCAGTTTGCATCCAAAACATGAGGACTGAGTAGTTGTAAACAGAGAATTGACAAATTCCAGCTTGATTTTAGCTGCTAACAACCTTCCTCTGATATGGTTTCTTCGTTTCTTTTTTTAGCATTCCCCAGTGATCCGGTTATTGAGCTCACAAGCCCTCTCATTCTTGGGGAACCAGCTTCTGTCACCTGCAGTGTTCCCAAGGTCTATCCTTCTGAGCAGTTGAAGATCACTTTGCTAAAAGGAAAAATAACTGCTGAAAAAGAGTTTTTTCAAGACCCTCATACAAAATCATTACAGACCAAGAACCATAAAATTAATTTTATTCCTATGGAGGAAGATTTTGGGAAAGAGATCATATGCAAAGCTGAGCTGCCGTTAGAGGAAATGGCTTTGAAGCCCAGACTGTCTACACATGTGATGGAAATAAATTGTAAGTATGTTGATGGAATAAAGATTCCAGCACAGGTTATATTCATGTTAAGGTTGCCTCCGTTTGCAATAGGCTGAACTGGATTTAGGAGGACATAAGAAGGAATCTTAAGACAAGTGGGGCAAGAAAAGTCAAATGAGCAGTTCTGGTTTATGCTTTCATTTTGTAAGCTGCTTAAAGTGCTTTCCCCATCTGATTAATATTTGTACTTTAAATGTTTTTAATAGAGGAAAAATCCATCAGTTAATAAACAAGTGTGAATTTATTGATGTTCACCAGTTGATTCTCAAACCTTTCCCCATTTAGGGCACTTATTATGACCTGCAATGTCCATTTTGCTAATTTAACTTGTCTATCCTTTGCTTTCCTTAAGATGGCCCACGGAATACTCAAATTGTGGCATTGCAAGGCAACACCGTACTAGAAGGAGAAGCACTGACACTTACCTGCATGACTGAAAGTCATCCTAAGGCTAGCTTTGCCTGGAAGAAGCAGCTTCCTGATGGAATTTCCCAGAATATTACGGAAAAGTACAACCTCTTTATCCCAAATCCTCAGGCCTCTGACTCTGGAACCTATATTTGTGAAGTCACCAATGAAGTTACAAGTGTAGTGGAGAGAAGATCACTATATATTTCTGTACAAGGTATAAAAACCCTGGGAACATAATAGGCCACATTCTGAATGCATTTACAGATTGTGTCCTCACTACTACTGGCCTTGCAAAGCATTGGTTTCACCTTTCCATCTGCAACAATCTTGTATCACCAGTCCTATTATAGCCAGTCTCATTTTAATTATGAAGGGGCAGATAATAGCAATTTATTTATTATTGCAAGAGACAGAGATTCATTGGTCAGCCTATTCCTATTCAAAATACTTATTATAGGTAAAAACCCTTAGATTTAATGCCCTAATAAATTTTACAATATTTGTTGTGGGTCGTTTTGAGAGCCTTTAATAACAATGTACTACACAATAGGAGAGCGTGTCATCATTAAGTCCATTTTTAAATGTTCTAGCCACACTTAGAAAGCTTTCCTGTTTAGAATCGGATTGTGAAGGGTGAAGATTAAGACAGAGATGAGAAGACTATCTTCCCTCACTCAAGTGATTTCAGGGTTAATGGTCAATATTCTCAAGCTAAAGTCTGAATGTCAAATATTTTACATTCAAATGAACAAAAAAACCAACATATAAAGTTTTTTAAATCTCAGATAGTTGAGCACTCAGACTGAAAATATCCAATGTTAACACTGCAGGATCCAGTCTGTTTTGATCACTGGGACCTGGGGTTTTGTCTTCTCAGCTTTCAGGCTAGTGCTGGAGACCACCCTCAGGGAACCTCTCGTGTTAACGTTAACTTCTCACAGCAACGATAACACTCATATATACTATATCAGGGGTAGGCAACTTGGCTCTTTTATGACTTGTGGGCTTCAACTCCCAGAATTCCTGAGCCAGCTATGCTGAGGGGAGAGGTTGCAAGCTGAGCTATGCTAGCCCAGGAATTCTGGGAGTTGAAGTCCATGTGTCATAAAAGCCAAGGTTGCCTACCCCGTGCTATATCATGTATTCTGATTTTATGTTTGTTAAACAATTAACAGAAGTACATATTTTCATTTCTTTCTTCAGCCTTTTCAACAGCCGCCTCAACATTAACCACCTCATCTGAAACAACAACGTTAACCACCTCATCTGAAACAACAACATCCTTTACATCAGATGCGGCATCAGAAACTACAAAATCAGTTACATCTCATGCAATGCTGAAAACGTTTATGTCTACTACATCAGAAATAGCAGCACCAGAGTTGATTACAATGTCTACATCACACACAGCACCAAAAATAATTACCTCGGTGACATTGCTTGCAACACTGAAAAATAATACAGTTGTGTACCCGGTGGATGTTTCTGATGATGACAGAAATAATACAGAAGAGATCATAATAATTGGTATGTATTTTTCAACCTTTGAACCATATAACCATATTATACTAATACTGCTACCAGATTGCATTACCTTAACACTCCATGCTTATTGGGTAGTGGTCCCCAAAAGGTAACTGGGATCAGTTCTTCCTTTCCCTTGCTAGGATTCTTGCAGTATTAAAAGGCATTGCTCAGACAGCAAACTAGCTGTTGTACAGGTAGTCCTTGACTTACAACCACAATTCAGGCCAAAATTTCCGTTGCTAAGCTAAGTGAAACTTTATCCCATTTTATGAACTTTCTTTGCCACAGTTGTTAAATGAATCATTGCAATTGTTAAGTTGGTTGTTAAGTGAATCTGGCTTCCCCGTTGACTTTGCTTGTCCGAAGGTCGCAAAAAGTGGTCCCATGACCCCGAGACACTGCAACCGTCATAAACGCATGCCCGTTGCCAACTGTCCGAATTTTGATCACGTGACCATGGGGATGCTGCACGGGTCATAAGTGTAAAAATGGTCATAAGTTATAACTTAGAACAGTCACTAAAAGAATGGTTGTAAGTTGGTGACTACCTTTATAAAGAGATTATATAGAAGAGGAAAATAACAATGAAGAAAAATAATCAAAAAATGGAGGGTTTTCAGTGGATCCGATACTTAAGCCTTTTCATTATTTTATTACATTCCCTTTAGCCCATATTTCACTCCTAACTAAAGTTGGTTAACTTTCCACATTGTAGAACTTTCCATGGTAGCTTTCTGCAAACTGATTGTTATTTGAACTTTAATTAAGAATTCTCCAGAGAGCAGGGCTATTGTAGTGAATTCTGGGTGTTGAAATCCACGCATTTGTAAGCTTACAAAATTGAGGAAGGGTGTCTTAGGGGTTTGTTGGCAATAATGTTATTTCTCCCCCTCCCTTAGTATTCCTTGACTTATGACAGTTTACTTAGCAACGGTTCAAAGTTACGACACCAAGCCCCCAAAAGTACTTACGAGACCATGCCCCCAAAGGCTCCCAATTAACAAATCCTCGGGTTACGAATGTAATTGGCAGGTTTTATTACATTCGTAACTCAAGGATTACCTGTACTTCTGTATCAGGACCTTCTGTCCATGAATGTGACATTTAGCTATATAAATATTGATATAAAGGGGACTGAAATTTGTACAATTGGTGAACAAAATGTCAGCCCCAGAAGAGAAGGAAGAGGAGGTAATGTTAAATCCAGAAATAGATTAACATTTGCTAGTGAAACTTTTAGATAGCATTGCCAATGGCCATTGTTGTTATACTCAATTTTTGTTTGTTTGTTTCATTCTCAGCCAGAGTTGAAGAGCTGGATTACGCGACACCTGTAATCATCGTAGTTTCTTGTTTAGCAACAGTAGCAGGTCCTACAGCTGCCATATTTATTTACATTTTTAGAAAGATGAAGATAAATGGCTCCTACAGTCTTGCAGACTCACTTAAGCCAAACATATAAGTCCATTAACCAGAAGTAACTAGACAGATTTGCAAGTTTACCAACTAGATGACACTGGACTTTGCTCAGAATCTTTGGTGATCTTTCTCATCACAACTCAATGCGGGAGGAATTGCGCTGATGTGCTTTGGAAAGGATGCAACCAAATTATGCCTTTCCACGAAAACCAGTCTCTTGAGCGCAGACTCTGTCTCCATTCAGTGTCTCCATTCAGCCACAAAGTGCTTGTGATCTTGGGCTAATCTATAGATATGTTTCTAAACTATGCTTTTATTTTACAATATTAACTTCCATGTGCAATACAAGCCAAATGAAACCTGCCTTACTTTTGGTAGTGCTGGACTAAGTTTCAAATTTACCTACATATCCAACAAAGTAGTTACTTATGAGAATAGTGAAGTGCAGTAGGATGGGCTATCCAGATATCTTTATACATAGAGGCAAGTTATACAATATGAACAATTTATCAATAGAAGAGAAGTATTGCAGCATAGCACTGATTCTGTTACCTGGTTGGGTAATGAAATGTCTGCAACAAAACAAGCTCACAAAGCACCAAGGACTGCATATGTGCAGCCTAACTCTTAACAGCTCAACTCTTAACTATTTGCTAGCAACAGGAAAGGTGTTTCTTGTTTTACAAAATCCCTATAAAGCTCCAGTTGCTAATTTTTTTTATGTCATCCCTGGATCAGTTTACTAGGTCTGTGATCTCTCACCACAATTTTACTTCAACAGTTAAACCTCTTTGCTTCCTTGCAAAGTGGCCCACTGTTGGGATATTTATTTTTGTTTTCTTTATTATTCTAATATTTTGGTGGTGGGGACTTTGTGGCTGCAGGCACTTCTCAACAAAGCAGTGATTTGACCCTTGGTTCTAGATTAGAAGATGGATATTTCCAAATTGTTTTTGAAGGGTTGGACAGTAGAAATGTATGTAAATATGCTGTAGGATATATATTGTTGTAAATAATGTATCATATTCTGAACATATGTATTATGCAGAGATGGGATACAACTGGGTAAATGTACAATAGATGTATGTATTTTGTATATAGTATTTTTTAACCTGTAAGTAGCAAATGCAAAATTATTCACTGCAACTTGTGAATAATTACATGATATTCTGAAGGTTTTCTTTTCAGAATGGGCTTAATCCTGGTGGAGCTAAGCGTTTTGAAGACCTACTGATCTCAACAAGAGGGAGTTTTAAAAATGCATTTCATTCTTCTGTTGAAATTAGTTAAATTTAAAAAGTGCTTAACTTTGAGGGTTTGTTTCTGTATAAATAGATGCTCAGACCCCCATTTTTGCAATGTTACAAATAGTGGGGAGGATAGAGTACATGCAGTATACAGATTTAAAGTTCTGCATAATAGTGGAAGCTAATGTTCTTTGAGAAATATTAGGAAACTTGAAAGAAGACCATAGTTCCCAGGAGTCTCTGGGAAAAGAAAATAACAATTAAATTGGCATACACTGACAGATGTACGAGTTTAATTGTTGTTACTTCCTTTTCCTAAAGATGTCCTATTACTTAGAAATTACTTAGTTAGAAATGTCCCATTACTTAGTACTAGATATATGAATAAAATGGAGGTATAGTCTTATGCACATTTAAAGTAGGGTATGAGTCTCACTGTAAAGCAAAAACTCTACTTTGATGTTGTCAACTGTATTATGAAAGGAATAATTTGTACACTCCAGACAAAATTGCAGTTTAAGTTCTATTCCAAGGTTATTACCTGTTTTTTTAAAAAAAAAAATATTGTGAGCCTCTCACCTACCTGGTTCACGTTTTGGTACTTTCATAGCTTGTACAGTATTATTTAAATTTATTGATAGCAATGCAATGTTCTCCTGTGAAACTGAATATTTATGTTGACATCTGTGAATTTTCTTTCTTTCTTTCTTTCTTTCTTTCTTTCTTTTTTTTTGGCTAGGTAGTAAAATAGCCAAAATGCTGTAATTAATCAATGTATGATTGAATTGTAAATAAAAGTGTTTTTCTGATTTTATAAGCGTTGCTGGTAACTCTTGATTTTCCCTGTTATCCTCATTAAGCTACAACCCAATAGAACATTCTCTAGAAAAAAGGAGATACTGGGCAATGGCAGAGATGTGACCATGGATATCTTCAGGGAGAGCAAAAGAAGTCAAAGGATGAAATGTGTGATGATGACGTCATCATGCAAATGTGACTTGCACCAAATGTTTGAACATGAGCTCCTAAGGACAACATTTGCATAAGGATGCCACCATGTGTGTGTTGTCATTTGGGCATTATTGTGGCTTGCTGTAGAAGTGTAGATGATGCCGAACGCTGTTCAAATCTATTGTCTTACATACTTGGTTCAATGTCAAGGTTCCGACCGACAGAGACAAATAAAGCAGAACTCCGAGGTTTGCAGTTCCTCAAAGAACATGTTTATTGATACAAAGTATCAGCACGTCAAAAGTGAAACCAAGTCTGAAGAGATGCATAACAATTCCCCAATACAAAGTTAAGAAATCCCACCCCTAAGGCTATGCAAGCAACTACGTTTCCCCATACAGCTTGTTGGTGGGCTTTTCATGAAACGTCCAGCCCGCAGTCTTGGAAGCAGCTGATGACCTTGGTTCTCATGAGAGAAAGTCCAAGAGAGAAAGTCTGTTTTGTCCAGCACAACCCCTGGCAACCCCCTTTCCTCCGTGCTATGTGTCAACTAGAAATGAAAAGGAAAAAATGGCAGCAGCCATGCTCATTCTAAAGTTGACACTAACAATTCAGTGATCGTATCCATGTCACTGCCCTTAACTCTTAGGAGAGACTTTGAGCAATAACAGTGTGAAGTTAAACTGGTGAATACAAGGGGGATTTCACACTCAACAGAAGATCAGGAAATCCTCTTTTCAAGGAACATAGTCACCTAAGCCAGCACTGGTACATTATTAAAAATTAGCAAGTCCAGTTAAATCTCAGTTTAATATTGCCATTTGTTAAGAGGGTAGATCCATTTGGATTGCTTCTCTTGGCTATCAAGATATTATCTTAGACCAACTCTAGTAAACATTCTGTTGCAAAAAGAGTAGGAAATCTTAGGCATTTTCTTGTGACAGGCTGCTATGCTGATTGTTACCAGTCCAGATATAAAGTACAGATAGCATGTAAAAAACAGCAACAATTATTGTTTCATATAAATCCTTTCAGAAATCACAAACGTATGCATATGCATGTATAGTTAAGTATGTCTTGTTTTGCTATCAGGTTTTTTTTTTATTGAAATTTTTTTTAAATTTTACAAAACAAATCCCCTCCCCAAAACCCCCCACCCTCCCATACCCTCCCCCCCTCCCCAAACCTCCCAAACCCTCCCCCAACCTTAGTTAAAATTTTTCAAAAAAAAGAAAAGAAAAACTTAAAACACATATAAATCCTAAACAAATCTAAATACCTTAAATTAAATAGGTTATCTTCGCTAAAAAAATAATAATTACAGTCCTTAAACACATTATAATATACTCTAAACATTTTCTAACATCATACTTATAATATTATTCATCGTTCTGTATAAACTCTCTCCAAGACACAAATTTAAACATTACTTTCTTTGAACATCTATACATCTATATAAATCTAATCTCTCCCTCTTTCTTTATCATAAAACAAAAAAATAAACATATAAACCTTCATTATACCATTGAAACAAAACACTCTTTGAATACTTAAGCTAAATACTTAAACTTAAACTTTAAACAAATTATCTTCTCTTAAAAATAATAATAATAACAATAATAATTAAAAAATCCAATCATTAAACACGTTATAATATACTCTAAACCTTTTCATGTCATACTTATATTCCATCATTCTTTATAAACTCCCTCCAAGACACAAATTTGAACATTACTTAAAACTTAAAACTTAAAACATTAAGATCCCCTTATACGCATTTAAATCTTTACCAATAACAAATACTATTTTAAACACATTGTAATATACATCTTTACCAATAACAAATTGCATCTTAAAAATAATAATAATAATAAAAAAACCCAAACATTGAAGACATTATAATATACTCCAAACCTATTACTTAAACTTAAACTTCTTATCTAAAATTTTCATTCAGTCTCCATAATCTTCTGTCCAATAACCGGTTACGTCCACTATAAACACAATCCTTATCAGTCTCTCTTGCCCATAAGCATCGAAAGAAATGCGTTAAAATCTGCCCTTGAAGATCGCTCCAAAAAATTTGTAAGTCCTGGTTCTCCCACAAACTCAGGAACCAATACCTGTGAAGCTTCCTCAACCTCCTTCTTCTGTTGGTCTTTCTCTTTACGTTTATATGTTACTTTTTCTTTACATTTATACGTTACACAAGTCTCAGGAACCAATACCTGTGAAGCTTCCTCAACCTCCTTTTCTTTACGTTTATATGTTGGACAAGTTGTCTTCTGGTCTTTCATCTCTTGTGGAACTTCCTTGAGCTTCTTCTGTTGATCCTTTTCTTTACAGTTATATATTGCATAGGTTATCTTCTGCTCGTCCATCTCTACTTGTTGAGGCCTCCCATTTTTAATTAATATAGACTCTTCAGACTGCAATTCTGGCATTAAAGGTTGCTCCAAAGAATTTATAAATCCTACTTCTCCCTCAGATTCAGAAACCAATACTTGTGGAACTTCCTTAAACTTCTTCTGTTGATCCTTTTCTTTACAATTATATGTTACACAGGTTGTCTTCTGCTCCTCCATCTCTACTTGTTGGGGCCCCTCAAACTGCAAATCTGCCTTTTTTTCTTCCAAAGCTTTAAGCATAGTAGGTGACGATGAGCATACCCCCAGGACCGAAGTATAAAAATCTTTTGCTTTAGAAACAGTATTAAGACTATAACATATCCCCTGGTAGCTCACCACCATTCCAGTCGGAACATCCCATCTAAACAAAATTTGTCTCTTTTTAAGTTCGTCTGCTAAAAAAGCAAACTCCTTTCTTCTTCTTAAAATTTTTGGTGGGATCTCCTTTAAAATTATAACATCTTGTGAAGCAATTTGAAACCTCTTCTTATAAAAGGCTTGTATAATTTCATTGCGCAGGGATCTTTTCCCAAAGTAAATTACCACATCTCTTGGCAAATTCTTTTGCTCTGCGACCACAGAGTTAACTCTAAATGTCTGATCAATTCCACTAAGTATTTCCTCTTCTTCTCTATTCAGAATCACAGCAAAGTCCTTTGCCACCATCTCTCTCAAATCTCCTTGCACAGACTCATGTAAACCTCTGATTCTTAAGGCATATTCCATTTGTTTATATTGAAGCATAAGAATCTCATCTTGAAAGTTTTTTTCCATACTTTCAAATTTTTCCTCCATCAATTCCAATTTTTCTACTACCTCTTCTACGCGAGAATTCAACTTTTCAAGAACAGAGGCAACTCCTTTTAAAGTCAAAACTATCTCTTGCTTCAAAGTCTTATTATTTTCCTCTAAAATCTCTTTCATTTCTCCCCTAATTTGAAGTATAACATCTCCCATCATATCTTGCAAGTCCTTCACCATTGTTGACTGTGGCAAGGAAGAAGGTGAAACTATTAATTTAGATTGTTGCCCTGATGATAACACCGAAGAAGAAGTCACCTTGGAAGCTGTAGAGATTACTGGACGCTTTGGAGCCATCTTAAAAAAAAAACTTTACTCCTTCTTAAAAATTGCAGGAATTAAGCAAGAAAAATAAGAAATTAGCTCCATAAATTCAAAAAAAAAATCCTTCAAGAGGGGATCATTATGATAAAATAAAAAAAGGAGTTCAAAAAAGAAAAAGAAAAAGAAGGAGAAGAAAAAAAATAATTAAATAGAAAAAATCCATTCCATTTTTTAAAAGTACCAAAAAGTACAAAATATAAAACACAAAAATTAAACAAAAATAATAATACTAACACTCCATTCCTATCATAAAAAAAACAAAAAAGAAAAAAGGAAAGGGAAAAAAAGAAACACCAAAAATGCTTAAAAAAATAGAAAAAACGCCGGAAAGTCTGCCGATCGCCATTTTACTTTCCCTTTCAGCAAAAAGTAAAAAATAAAAAGAGGGAATATAAACATAAAAATAAATCTTTAAACAAAATCCATATAAAGTCAAAAAAGCAAAAGTTAAATCCTATAGTCAACTCTGTCCGCTTCTAAAAAAACTCATCAGATCTCTTTAAACGCGGAGGTGGTTGCAACGGCTTGTTTTGTCCCTAGGGTCAAAAGCAGCTGGGAAGCGGAGACAGTCTGAACTCCATGGGAGCACTCCTTTCACACACCCCCAAAAATATTGGGGGTGCATAAGTGGCTCTACCACTATTCAGACAACCCTCTTCCCCCCCCCTTTGCCCGGGAGGGGGATTTTGAACCGCTGAACAGCTGATGTCCGCTGTTCATAGCGATTCATTACACTTACCCAGGAGGACGGCTACAAAGTAGCCGCCATCGCCCGCGCAGATCCCCCTCGGATCTATCAGGTTTTGTGGCTACTTCTACTGAGGAAATACATATTGGAAAATGCAATGTTGTTCTCTCTTCATCTGGTCCTGAGCTACATTTCTCTATGGTAAATGGAAGATTGACACTGAGGAAACTTCTTGGGGAGTCGCAATGTAGGAAACTTCCAATGTTGCAATGTATCTCATATCTTCTTTTGCCTTTAGTATGTTGCTTAGGGGTTCGTGGCCAATAACATCTGGAAAGCCACATATTGTCCGACTCTGTATGGAGCTTTTAATGTACAATTGTCCAATCTCTTTGGCAGAATTTAACCAGGGTCCAGCTATTGTATTTCATTTGCAAATCTCCTTGTGATTTCTATTAGTTCTTCCATATTTTTTAACCAAACAAAAATCAGTTAAGTAAAACGAAAATGGAAGAAAATTGGTAGTGTCCATAGGTATCTTTCTGAAAGCATTCTAATATAACAAAATGATGATTGTGTTTTATATGAAGTAAATATAGTGTGTGTACTTTTCATAATACAATTTAAGAGTCCTGTAATAAA